AGACTGCATCAATTATGCTAGAAGATGTCATAAGTGCCAAATCTATGGGGATAAAATAAATGTTCCTCCTCACCCTCTTCACGTGATGACAACACCATGGCCCTTTTCTATGTGGGATATGGTTGTCATTGGACAAATCCATCCAAAAGCTTCAAACGGTTATCGGTTCATTCTTGTAGCAATTGACTATTTTACTAAATTAGTGGAAGTTACATCATATACCAGTGTCACTCAGTCTACTATTTGTAAGTTCTTGAAAAAGGATATCATATGTCGGTATGATTTACCTGAAATAATCATTATCGATAATGCAAAAAACCTGAACTACAAGATGATGAATGTTGCTTGTGAATAATTTAACATAAAACATCATAACTCTACTGCTTATAGTCCAAAGATGAATGGAGTGGTAGAAGAAACAAATACAAATATCAAGAAAATAGTGGACAAAAGGGTGTGATATAAAAGAATTGACACGAGAAATTACATTTTGCTTTGTTTGCTTACCGAACTTCGGTATGAACTTCGATTTGGGCAACCCCATTTTTCTTAGCATATGGGATAGAGGCAGTATTGCCCATTGAGGTGGAGATCACATCACTCTGGGTTTTCTCGAAAGTTAAACTGGACGATGCAAACTCGATATGATAAGTTAAACCTAATAGAAGAAAAGAGGTTGAAAGCCATTCATCATGGTCAACTCTACAAAAAATGAATGATTCGATCACATATAAGAAAGTGTACCCAAGATTATTCTACGAAGGAGATCTTGTGCTAAAGAGGATTTGGCCAATTCAAAGAGACTTTATAGGAAAATGGATGCCAAATTGGGAATGGCCTTATGTCGTGAAAAAGACCTTCTCCGGAGGAACACTGACCCTGGCTGAAACTACCTAATCCCGTTAATTCACATGCAGTCAAGAAATACTTTGCTTAGCATGAAAACCCGAAAGGGCGCCCCAAGTTGAAGAAAAAAAACTTTTAGGGTGAAAACTCGAAAGGGCACTCTAAATTGAAAAAAAAAATAAGAACAAAAATAAGGTGGGTCCAAGGTAAAAACCTACAAAGGGCATCTTGAAACCAAGGATGGATTCAAGTTAAAAACTCGAAAGGGCAACCTGGATATGATCCAGGATTCGCACATGGGAAGGGTCCCGGATCAAGGCAGTAAAGCATCATGGCATCCAAGTCTTCTGTAGACCTAATAATTCATGGGAACTTTGCACTCTCCCGAACATTTTCATATCCTTGAAGTCCCCTTGACAAAAGTTGTACTCAAAAGTCATCTAACGGTGTGTCAGTTCAAAGTCATCCCCATTATCGAGATCTAGGGCATCTCCTTATATTTCTTTCATGTATTGACTTTTCAGAATGTTTGCCATGTATTCTTTTTTCTTTTTCCTCGTAAATAAATATGGTCATTTCTCTAAAAAGATCAATTCCTTTTAAGCATCTTAGATTGAATTTAAATAAGAATGATTTATTCACTTTTGAAAATGTTAGAGTATGCCCAAAGACTAATCATATGATGATTATAATAATACATTTATTTACCGTTTTATTGAATAAAGGCATTGCCAATATTATTTTCGGTTATATGTCTGTGTTTAACATAAACTGAAAGATAATAAAGTCCATAAAATAACATTATTAAAAGATCCATAGTCAAGTATTATTATGGGCATGGACAATAATAATACGCTTAAGACTAATATGTTATTGATTGATGACAAGGAGTTGTCATTGACATAGAGATGTCAGAATTGATACATGATTATATTGTTAGAGAACAATGTATTGGATTGACTTATCATGAGCATATGTCTTGGATTATTATGTAACGGTCATAACATTGCTCATGGTGATAACTATATGTATTATCCTCATATTTGAGATCAATGTCGTCCCAACATATATTGTTGTATATTTTGATAAAGTTAAACATGCTCCGTAATTGGTTGTACTATAAAGACTATTATTGAATATATCTCAATATATATAGTGGGGTGGTTAAGATAGGATTTGTTCTTCATACATATTAGGAAATATACCATAGACCACTTGATTGAGTGAGACTAGAAGTGCATGGCCATGCTCGAATAAGTTGATAGGTGATATCACAAATTATTTGTTAATTATAGTCTACTCTAGATATCAAAAAACAATAGATGGGCTATAGAAGTGTGACTATTCTAAGACTTGTGCCTATTCTAGATATAAAGGACAAAATGATGTAGTACATAAAAGAGATAATCACGAAGATGATATGTCGAATCATAATTTCTTGTAACTTAGGTGACAATGATATATAACTAGATGTCACTCATTGTTTGTAATATTAGAATTGTTCTAATAATTACTACTAACGTTATAAGAACCTACAGGGTCACACACTAGGATTGAAATGAGCAAAGATGTATGATTTGTTGTATGTTACTAAAACATATATAGAGTTAAGATATGTATATTTGATATACATATGATTTTAATTATCCCGAATATTGTAAGTAAGCATTAAAAGAATGTAGTTTAGATTCCAACTCTTTTAATTAAAATTTAATTTGGAATAATTAAATAAGTTTTGATATAATCATTAAAGATTGTAATTCATATTATAAGTATTTAATGTATATTTAATTTGAATTAATTAAATAATATTTTATTTAATAATTTGAAATAACTTTAAAAACCCTAAGATGTTAAGGTAATTGATATATTTAAATAAGGTAAGGTCTAGCAGCCGTTTTACTTTAATCATTTTCTCAAAACTAATTTTGGTAAAAGAAAATTTTGCTCTCAATTGGGTGAACTAAGTAGAGGCCGAGACGTGTTTTAGTGAAGGCTTACGATTCGAACCGTTCGTGATCATTACTTCTCGCTGTTGTCTTTGCTGTTTTCCAAGGAACCCATTGTAAGTATTCATATCTTTTCCTCCCGAATTCGGTTTTACTACTTGGATCACTGGTGAGATCGTCGAGTTTTGTTTCTATTATGTCGTGGAGTGCGCCGACGGTCCCAATAATGGTATCAGAGACACTTGTACGATCCAAATTTGGGTTAAATTCTTGATTGATGTGATATGTATGAGATGCATGTTCTAGTTTTATTGTTTTCGGCAAATATCATGATATCATTGTTCAAATCGATAACCGCAACGATTAATATGTTAATTTGTTAATCTGTTTTTCAATCTATTTGTTGCTGCAATGTTTTTACGAAATCCATATGTCAATTGTTGAATGATTATCCGTGGGAGGGTGATAGCATATCACGTTTAGTAGTGGAACAATGGTTGTTCCAATGCAGAAAACCTTCGGGTTTGAAAATTCCAACAGCACGATTCTGTTGATAAGTGTTAATCACCCCTTGACCCTTCATCAGCAGTACAAATTGAAGGCCTATGTTAATCTTTTTAACAAAGGTGTAACAACATGTATATATATATATATGATATGTTTGTTTTGAACGGTGTTTGACATGCATAGTTATAGCCCTTGTTCAATTTACAATGGTTTAATTTAAAATACGGTCTGCGAGTCGTGCCTTTTTATATCTTAGTTGTATTTATCTTCTCATCTTACTCCCTCGCATGTAAAACGAGTTTCTTTTAAAATTACAATCCTATGAAGAATCACAAGGAGTATAAGAATGGTGAAAAGATACTTAGAGAGCAGTCTCAGGCTTTAGGGTTTTTTGGTTCTCCCATTGGCTTGGGATGAACCACCTTAGTCATTATTTTTGGGCTATAACATTTGCATCTTATTCATTGCTATATATGTTATGTATGCAATACATCAAATGATAAAATAAGAATGAATATTGATGAGATAAATAAGGTCCTAATATTAAAAGAATAAGGATGAGATAATTACGTAAATCCCTCGTTAAGGCTTCGATCGATATTGTGTGGGCTTTGCCAAAGCATTGGCACATAAATCTATCTTGGTTAAACATGAAGAATAAGCAAGTGATATTCACCGGTTGAGATATTGGTAATAACTTAGCTAGGTTATTCTAATAGGATTAGAAACCTAGAGGTTAAATATTTGGATAAGTCATGAGATGACTTGAACAAGAGTTGTTCACCAAAAGGAGGAGTTACATGAGATGTATCTAGTAAAGTGTTACTTACCTAAATAATCACAATCCTAAAAGAAAAGCCAAAGCAGATTTAGGAAATTGATGTATTATGGATCCTCACCCACTAGAAAAAATTTTGTTGAATTTGTACGAAATTAAAACAGAGAGGGTTTTTAATTTTGAAGAAAATAGTGGGAGTAATTTGTAAATAAAGACCTATTTATAAATTTTAATTCTGTAAATTTACTTACTTTAATATTTCCATTGTTGTAGATTTAATGGAAAACAACATTTTATCACTGCGATCGCTCCTTGAAAATGATAAACTTAATGGCATAAACTTTCTTGACTAGTTTCGTAATTTGAGAATTATTCTCAAATAGGAAATGAAGGAATATGTCATTGAAGAACTTGTTCCTAATTAACTGGCAGCTAATGCTTCAAGAGCTGACAAAGACAAATTCAAGAAACATATGGATGATATGTTAGATGTTGGATGTCTAATGCTTGCCACCATGACTTCTGAGCTTCAGAAGTAACATGAGGACATGGTTTCATATGAGATGATTCAAAATCTCAAAGAAATATATGAAGGGCAAGCACGTCAAGAGAGATATGAGACCTCTAAAGCTCTATTTCAATGAAAAATGGCATAGGGAACTCCTGTAGGAGCTCATGTCATCAAGATGATGGGCTACATCCAAACGTAGGAAAAGTTGGGATATCCTCTCAAAGATGAATTGACTACCGATGTTATCCTAAAATCGTTTCCAGATAGCTTTAGCCAATTTGTCCTTAATTTCAACATGAATGAAATTAAAAAGACTTTGCCACAGTTACTTGGCATGTTACAATCTGCTGAAAGTAACATGAAAAAGGTTGGACCTAAGCCCATCCTGATGGTCCACAAGGACAAAGGAAAGGGAAAGAAAAAGGTAGTGGCAAAGTCTAAGGGCAATGGTAAGGCCAAACCAAAAAGGAAAAAATGCATTGAAACCCAAAGGGGAGTTAGCAAGGTAGGAAAATGTTTTCATTGTGATAAGACCAGACACTGGAAGAGAAACTGCCCTGTTTACCTTGAAGAGGTCAAGAAGTCAAAAGCAAAAGAAACGTTTGTTTCAGGTATTTATGTTTTTTATGTTAATTTGTTAATATCTACTTCTTGAGTATTAGATATCGGTTGTGGTTCTTATATTTGTACTTCTGTACAGGGACTGTAAAAGAAAAGGAATATGGCTAAAGGAGACGTAAAACTACGAGTGGAAAATGGAGCAAGAGTTGCTGCATTAGCTATAGGGACATATGTTTTATCTTTGCCTAGTGGACTTGATTTAAATTTAGAGGATTGTTATTTTGTGCCTAGTTTGACTAAGAACATTATTTCTATTTCTTGTTTGGACAAGATTGGTTTTGAGATTATTATTAAGAATAATTATTTTTCTTTTTATCTCGATGATGTTTTTTATGGTTCGACACAATTGATTAATGGTCTCTATATTTTGGATTAAGAAGACACCATTTATAACATAAATACTAAGAGATCAAAAACAAATGACTCGAATTAAACTTATCTTTGGCATTGTCTCTTAGGCCATATAAGTGAGAAATGCATATCAAAACTCCATAAAGATGGATTACTTATTCATTTGTTTTCAAACAATATGATGTATACGAATCTTGATTATTGGGAAAAATGACTAAAGCTCATTTTAATAGTAAAGGTGAGTGACAAAGTGATTTACTAGGGTTAATACATAGTGATGTATAAGTATATTTATCTTATGCGCCATAAATGTGAAGCCCTTGAAAAGTTTAAGGAATTTAAAAATAAATTACAAAATTAACTAGGCAAGAGTATTAAGGCACTTCGATCAGATCGAGGTGGAGAATAATTAAGCATAGAGTTTGATGAACTCCTGAAAGATTGTTGAATTGTCTCACAGCTTACATCACTTGGTACACCACAATGGAAGGAGTTTATAAAAGAAGGAATCGAACACTGTTAGACATGGTTCGATCAATGATGAGTCATAGTGATATTTCAACTTCTTTTTGGGGACATGCACTTGAAACAGTCGCTTTCACACTAAATCGTGTTCCATCTAAATCGGTTCAAAAGACACCATACGAGATATGGAATGGGAAGCATCCTAATATGTCTTTTATAAAGATTTAGGGTTGTGAAACTCATGTAAAACATCAGATGTCTACAAAACTCGAATCTAAATCTCATAAGTGTATATTTGTTGGATATCCTAAAGAAACTAAGGGATATAATTTCTTCAACCCTAACGAGAACAAAGTGTTTGTTGCTCGAACATGAATTTTTCTCGAAAGAGAATTTCTCTCAAAGAAAGAGAATGATAGAAATATTGAACTTGGAAAAGTTCAAGAACAACAGATCAATAAACCTAAAGTTGAGCATGTTTCACAAGTTATTGAGGAGAATTAAACAGATTTAGAAACACAACCACTCTACAGATCCACAAGAGAACGCCATGCACCTGAGAGATTTGGATTTTTCGTTACTGCACATGGATATGTTATTCTTATGGATTAAGATGAGCCCAAGACTTTTCAAGAGGCAGTGTCTAGCCCAGACTCTGAGAAATGGCTTGAAGCCATAAGATCTGAGATAGATTCCATGTCAGTAAACCAAGTATGGACTTTGGTTGAATCACCTGAAGGGGTCAAACCTATAGGGTGTAAATGGGTTTTTAAGAAGAAAAATGACATGGATGGTAATGTACAAACATACACAGGGTGATTAGTTGCTAAAGGTTTTCGACAAGTTCATGGTGTAGACTATGACGAAACATTTTACCCTGTAGCTATGTTTAAGTCCATCCGGATCTTGCTCGCAATAGTTACATTCCATGATTATGAAATCTGGAAAATAGACATCAAAACCGCTTTTCGTAATGGAAAACTTGAAGATGATGTGTATATGACACAACCTGAAGGATTTGTCATTCCAGGAAATACTGGAAAGGTTTGTAAGCTATAGAGGTCTATTTATGGACTAAAACAAGCTTCTCGAAGCTGGAATCTTTATTTCAATGATGCAATCAAAGAGTTTGGTTTTATCATAAATGAAAATGAGCCTTGTGTTTATAAGAAGGCTATTGGGAGCATTGTTTCTTTCCTAATCTTGTATGTAGACGATATACTCGTCATAGGAAATAATATACCTACTTTACAGTCTATTAAGACTTGGTTAAGTAGTTATTTTTCTATGAAAGATTTGGGTAAGGCAGCGTATATCTTAGGAGTAGATCAAGACGACTTCTAGGTCTGAGTCAAAGTACATATATAGAAAAAGTGCTGAAAAGTTTCATTATGTAAAAATCCAAGAAAGGATTTTTGCTTATGAGATATGATATTTCTCTTTCGAATGAAATGTGTCCTTCAACTCCACAAGAAAGAGAACAAATGAATAAGATTCCATATGCTTAAGCTATTGGTTTTGTCTTATATGCCATGATATGTACTCGACCAGATGTATCGTATGCTTTAAGCATGACGAGTCAGTATCAAGAAAACCCTAGTGAAAATCACTGGGTTTCAGTTAAAAATATCCTTAAGTACTTAAGAAGAACTAAGGATAAATTTCTTGTCTATAGAGGGGAGAAAGAGCTTAGTGTAAAAAGTTATACTGATGCCAGCTTCTAAACTAACAAGGATGACTCATGATCACAATCGGGTTTTGTGTTTTGTCTTAATGGAGGTGTTGTGAACTGGAAAAGTTCGAAGCAAGACACAATAACTGATTTTACAACAGAGACTGAATACATCGCAGCCAGTAAAGCAACAAAAGATGATGTTTGGATCAAGAAGTTCATATTGGAATTAGGGGTTGTTCCCAGTATATCAGATGTTGTAGAACTCTGTTGTGACAATAATGGAGCCATTGCACAAGTAAAGGAACCCAGATCTCATCAACGATCAAAACATATTCTTAGGCGCTTTCATCTCATTCGAGAGATCATAAATCGAGGAGATGTGGAAATTTGTAGAGTACACACAGATGACAATATTGTTAATCCCTTGACAAAGCCTCTTACACAGCAGAGGCATGATCGTCACATTGAGTCACTTGGTATTACATATGTGAGTGATTGGTCTTAGTGCTAGTGGGAGATTGTTAGAGTATGCCCAAAGACCAAACATATGATGATTATAATAATACATTTATTTACCAATTTTATTGAATAAAGGCATTGCCAATATTATTTTCAGTTATATGTTTGTGTTTAACATAAACTGAAAGATAATAAAGTCCATATAATAACATTATTAAAATATTCATAGTCAAGTATTATTATGGGCATGGACAATAATAATACGCTTAAGACTATCATGTTATTGATTGATGATAAGGAGTTGTCATTGACATAGAAATGTCATAATTGATACATGATTATATTGTTAGAGAACAATGTATTGGATTGACCCATCATGAGCATATGTCTTGGATTATTATGTAACGATCATAACATTGTTCATGGTGATGACTATATATATAATCCTCAGACTTGAGATCAAAGTCGTCCCAACATATATTATTGTATGTTTTGATACAGTTAAACATACTCTGTAATTGGTTGCCCTATAAAGACTGTTATTGAATATATCTCGATATATGTAGTGGGTGTGTATAGTTAAGATTGGATTTGTCCTTCCTACATAATAGGAAATATATCACATGCCACTTAATTGAGTGAGACTAGAAATGCATGGCCATGCTTGAATAAGTTGATATGTGATATCACAAATTATTCGTTAATTATAGTCTACTCTAGATATCAAGAAACAATAGATGGGCTATACAAGTGTGACTATTCTAAGACTTTTGCCTATTCTAGATATAAAGGACAAAAGGATGTAATACATAAAAGAGTTTATCACGAAGATGATATGTCGAATCATAATTTCTTGTAACTTAGGTGACAATGATATATTGCTACATATCACTCATTGTATGTAATATTAGAATTGTTCTAATGATTACTACTAACGTTACAAGAACCTACAGGGTCACACCCTAGGATTGAAATGAGCAAAGATGTACAATTTGTTATATTGTACTAAAATATATCTAGAGTTAAGATATGTATATTTGACATAAATATGATTTTAATTGTCCCGAATATAGTAAGTAAGTATTAAAATAATGTAATTTAGATTACAACTCTTTTAATTGATATTTAATTTGGAATAATTAAATAAGATTTTAAATAAACATTAAAGATTGTAATTCAAATTATAAGTCTTTAATGTATATTTAATTTGAATTAATTAAATAATATTTTATTTAATAATTCAAAATAACTTTAAAAACCCTAAGATGTTAGGGTAATTGATATGTTTAAATAAGGTAAGATCTAGCAGTCATTTTATTTAGTCATTTTTCTCAAAACCGATTTTGGGAAAAGAAAATTTTGCTCTCAATCGGGTGAACTAAGTAGAGGCCGAGACGTGTTTTCATGGAGGAGTACGATTTGAACCGTTCGTAATCACCACTTCTCGCTGCTGTCTTTGCTGTTTTTCAAGGAACCCATTGTAAGTATTCGCGTCCTTTCCTCCCGAATTCGATTTTACGTACTTGAATCACTAGTGAGACCGTCGAGTTTTGTTTTTACTGCGCCGTGGGGTGCACCGCCTGTCCCAATAGAAAAGACAAATGTGTATTACTGTACAAAGGTTTTCCGAAAGGTACAGGTGTTCAAAAGCCGATAAAGATTTTTGCACCATACTCGAGCTAATGGGTTCTAGTTAATTGAAAGGCATTGTTTAAATCAAGACTAAAAGTAAACATTCTTTTTGTAAGTTCATAGAATGTATATCAGATCAAAGCCTGTTGAAGAATCTAAGATCAAGAATCAGAAATTCAAGATTCCAAAATCACGAGTCATCCGAAATGACCGCAAGAGATTGAGACTTCTCTCTAATCCCTAAAGTAACATAATGCATATGCATTTTAGGCTTACATAAAAATATTGCATCCATAGCATCACATATATTCGTGATTTTGCATATTTTTTTGTCAGAGCTAATTTAAAGAATATTAAATTCCAAGGAAGCTCAAAATTAAAAACTATACAGCCTATCCAAGTTAGATTTCAACTTCACAATGAAGGATATCTGGCTCAAGGCAAGTTTATTCAATCTAGACTCAACTTCATGATGAAGGAGTTACCCACGATTTCAACTTCACAATGAAAGATATCATGCCTAATAGATCGACTTAACTTCATAGCAAATGAGTCATCTGCAATAATAAGAAACTATCTCCCATCCCAATTTACAACATAGCTCAAGGCGAGAAAGGCTATCTGTCAACGAAAACCTTCAAGTTCAATTTCATTCAGCACGAGGGTATATCAACTGCATGGTAGTAGCAAAGAACTATTTTCTGGTCGAATTTTCAAACTGAGGTCTTTAAGCCAAGAAGAAGACCAAGGTTAACTATGATTTGGCAACAAGAAGCCATTTTCCAGCTTAGATTTCGAACTAGATTTCAACTTCACATCGAAGGATATCATGCTCGAAGCATCCAAGATCGACTCAACTTTATGACGAATGAGTCACCGTAGTTCAGCTCAACAACAGGAAGCCATGATCAATTAGAATTTTCAAGTTGAATTTCAACTCTGCGACAGAAGATATTCGATAAGAGAGTTAACAAATATTGAGTCGGATTTCAATCACAGAAAAAAATATCAGACTCACAGGAGCAAATTCGCTTTTGAACCCTTTTCTTACTGAACGAAAATCTATGTCCATTTAACTTTGCCCTATTTTTGTTACACGATAAATGGGCAAAGAGGGGCAGTTGTAGGCACTTATTTTTGTCAGGGTTTTTTAGCATAGTATACATAATAATATAATTTTTAAAAAAATATATAATATATAGTTTTTTAAAAAACAATTTCGAAAATGTATAATATATAGATTTTTAAAAACAAAATTTTGAAAAAATATATTATATAGTTTTGAATTTTTTTTAAAAAAACACATGATATAGTTTTGAAAACACATTTTTTTAAACGTATAATATATAGTTTCAAAAACAATTTTTAAAATATATTATGTAGTTTTGAAAAACGATTTTAGAAAACATATTTTTGAAAATATAGTATTATATAGTTTTTATTATTATATTTATTTATTATATATTATTATTATTCATTATATATTATATTTATTTATTATTTATTATTATTATTATTATATATTTTGCAGGTCCAAAAAAAGAGTCCAAAGGTCCAAAAACAGAGCCCAACCGGGTAGCCTGACCCAACAAGCCTAATGGAAACTCAATAAAGCAAACCCGGTTAGAGGGCCCTGACCCAACCCAAATCAAATTAGGGTTACACATACTTAACAAAGGCACCACATGAGAAGAGAAAAGAATGTATGAGGCCAAGAATCCAAGGCCGATTTTTGGTGGCTAGTCGACCGGAATCCTCGGAACGAAACAGAGGCAAAATAGGGAAAACTTCCCCCCGATTTTCTCGGCAAATATGGAAGAAAAGTCCAACCGAAACACAACGTGCAAAATCCCCTAAATATCGGGACTACACCATCCCGTTGGGACCAGAAACAATCACCAGCGGTGGGGGTATAAATACCCCCACCAAAGCTGTCGAACAAAGGAACAAAAATCCCATAAAAAACTGAAGAGAACAACAACCACAACAATAAAAATAAGCATTATCATCATAACAACAAGAAACCACCAAACACAAGCAACATTGGTAAAAATCGAAAGCAATCAAGCCAAAAAAAAAACAAGGCCAAAAACGTTTGAAGCCAAAACCAAAAGGCAAAGCTTTGCCTCGTCAAAATTTGGCGGGAATACATGAGAGCCTCGTAAGAGAAGAAGAAGCCGTCGGAAGTTAGAAAATTCACTGGGAAAGGTAAAAAGTGAATAATTTCTTATAGATCTACATTATTTAGGGCTTGTTTTAGGGATTTAAGGTTTGAGTTTAGTTTTAGGGTGTCGAGGAGAGTATTTTGGGGTAGAAATTTAGTCTTTCGACCACCAGAGACGGCGAACTGAGAGGCGGAGCAGCATCGGTTAACGGTGGCACTCTAGGCCGGCAGGTTTTAGGAATGGATGAAATATGAGATAATTTTGGGTTTTAGGGATTATATATACAGAGGACTAAAGTGAAAATATCAAAATTCTAAATTATTTTCATAGTCCCTGGAAGTTTGAAGTGCAATTCATTTTGGTCACTTGTGGTGAATTTACCCTTGAATTTTGAATTGTTTCAATTTAATCCATGTTCATATTTTTTATGTTTATGCAATTAAGTCCTCTAACTTCTCAGTTTTTCTTGCAACCCGTAATTAATTCCAATTTAGTCTTTGATGTTTAGTTACTTTCAATTAAATCCTTTAATTTGAATTTTCTTTTAATTTTTTATTCACTTTTTTTATTTTATTTTATTTTACATTATTATTTCACACTAATTCGATTTATCTTTTCAATTTTATCTTATTTTAACCCTAGAAGTAATTCTTTTCAATTTCATTTTATTTTATAATCTTTTTTTAAAAAACTTCTTTTTATTTATTTTTTAATATCCTTTTTGTTTGTTTTATTTTATTTTATTATTTAACATTATTTTAGATTTTTAAGGACAATTTGAATCGGTTAAAGGTAAATAATTCAAATCGAACCTTTAAATTTCAATTTAACTTTTAATTTTCGCAATTAAGATAACCGAAAAATTAAAATTGGTACCGAAAGAGCAGTGTAAGGGTGTTAATCCTTTATTTACTGTAACCGACTCCCGAATCTGACACATTTCTGATAAAATGCAGATCAGGTAAGATGATAAAGTAAGGTGTCCGGTTAACCTAATTTAAAAAAATAAATGATCGATGGCGGCTCTAGTATGTTTTATTTAAGTCGAAACCCAATTCCAAGCCCACCCGAAGGACGGTTACGACAATATACAAATTGGAACCATGCTTCTGGGTCTCCATCATCTATGTTTTTTGCTTCATCATTTGTCTTAGTTGTTGTGATGTTCGAGCTGGAAGCAACATCCTCAACCGTACGAGCAAGGTCGAGATCATCGAACTCTACAAACAAATCGACATTAGATAAAGAATAGTTGAAATATATCTCAATCATACCAGCAAAGTCGATATCATCACTTAGATGAAACCTTGTGTATGATAGTGGAATTCTATAATATAACAAAGATATTCTTCTATCGCTTCCTAGTTGAACCTGTAGACACCCGTTTTTGATCGGGATTAAAAAATATTATAAATATTAATTATATATTATTATTATTATTATATCATTAATATTATTATTATATTTTTGTTACAGGCCCAATATAACCCAAGCCTAAACATCCATGATTGCAAGCAAGGAGGAAATGCTATGGTGAGGGACTTCCCGAAGCATTATGCTTGGTGAACCATATTGGATGGCAACGATGTATCCATCTTCGGCAATATCCATGTTTGGGTGGATCATGACTCCTTTTCAAAATGTAATGATGGTCTGGTTGATTCCATTCATGGGTCCACTTCAATCACCATATCAAACAACTATATGACTCACCATGATAAAGTCATGCTCGTGGGGCATAGTTATTCCTACATTCAAGACAAGAACATGCAAGTCACAATAGCAAAGGGGAGGGGACAAAATATCATTAATAATAAGCCAACCACTACATTAAAAAAACGTTTAAAAAATAAAATAAATCCCGGATAATCCGGGATTCAACCTGCTACAACCAGATTTCATCGATCAAAGTCATCACCAAATTATTGACTTACAACCATAAAAGGACAGAGAACAACGAGCAATAAAGAGGGGAGCAGGTAAAAAACACGAAGGGGGTTCACCAACAGTAGAAAAACACAAAAAAAGGAAAATAATTGTAACAGGGGGTTGGCTTATACTCTCCAGCTATTTTTTTATTTGAAAGCAATACCAAACAAGATATACATTTTAAGGTTTTCAATTTACTTTTCTATTTTATTTTATTTCCTGTTCTTGTTTTTTGATTTGAAATGATTCCAGGGTGAATACTATATTGATCCATTCCAGTATTTCTGTTTTTAAAAAATAACGGTGATAGATAAGCATAAACATCGAATCAAAATACTAACCATATCAATATTTGCTAATCATGATTTTAGAGAATAAATTCCAACCATAAACTATTCGAAGCAACCAAACAGGTATTAACAACGATATAGTTTTTTAAAGAAATTTCATATTTTTTATTTTCAAAATTTTTTTGTAAAGAATACAGATAATAAAAAAAGGGATGTGAGGTTGATTTACCTGAGTTGTGCGAGTTCCAGTGGAGTCTCGGTGACTCCACATTATCGCCGTTCGGATCCTGTCGCCAGAGAAAAAAAACCTGATGTTAGTCTTAATAAATGAAATTCTTTGAATTAAAATTAGTAAGAGAGAGAGAGAGAGCTTACCTTGGCCGAGCGTCGGGGCTGTTGTCGGGGTAGTTCTCTGTATTTAGGTGTCATAGGTTGCAAAGGGTAAATATTCTTCTCCTCTGGAGTTTCGAACGCATATTTTTGGGTATCTTTTAGGGGAATCAGTCGAAGAAGCTTAGGTTCATATGTGGTGGTCGTTTGGTTTTCCTCGACTGAAAGCTCGGATAGTGTGTGGCCATTTGAATGAAGTTGTGGTGGCCATTTGAAAGAAGTTGTGGTGTCCATTTGAGAAATAGAGGGAAGATGCGAAGAAGAAGTAGGGAAGGAGAGTGGAGTTAAACGGCTGAAAAGGAAAAAGTGAGGCTAGGGTTTAATTTCACTCAATATATTACATATATTAGTTTACTAAAACAATACCATTTTAGGAGGTGAGTAGCACGTGTCTAGTGAGTGGGAAATAGTGTGCGATGCCATTCTTATTTTGTTTGTAATTCATTTTAGTCCTAAATTTTAGTCGTTTATGTCATAATTTGGTTTCCATGTTTTACGTGTATTTAATTTCAGTCCCTATAATTTAGTTATAGTATTTATTCATATTTATATTTTGGACTTTTAATCGCATATTTACTAATGTGTAAAATCATGTATTTTATATTTTAAGTCACATGTTTGGCATCAAATTCATTCTAGTCATCATCTTTAATCTATAGGGTTGGGTTAATTTCATTCGGGTCCCTTTGTATTTTACACATCCTATTTTAGTCCCTGGTCAAGTTTCTTTTATCTTTTAATTTGGTCTTTATATGTTTTTGTGCATTTAATTTCAGTCCTAAGAATTATTGTATTTAATCTTTACTGTTTTATACATTTAACTGTTAAAGTTGTGCATGTTGTTTTTTGGTGCATGTTGTATTTTGGTCCTCAGTCTTTTTACTCATATTTTCTAATTATTTTGAATGAGGTACTAATTTTTGATTATTTTCATTTTGGTCATGTATATTCTGTATAATTTATTTTCTTATCAGTACCTATATTATGTTATTTTTTTATTTCTGTCATGATGTTTTCCATGTTTGTTATTATGTCTTTTAATTTACTGTCACTATTATGTTATTAAACATGCTTATTTTTTATTTTAGATTGTCATGTTTGTAAATGTGCATGTTAGTCCAAATTTATAATTTTATTTTATTTATCGTTATCATTTTATGTATATATAAATATATTATGCACGTAATTACATCTATTATAGCATATTTCATATTTTATATATATTGGTTTGATATGTTTTGGTTCTAAGTATTATTTATACATATCATTATTTTTAAATATAAAATTCCATATTCTTTATTCATTAATATATATATATATATATATATATATATATATATATATATTATTAATTAAATATTTTTATATGAATGATTTAATGCAATTCTATTAATTTATTTTTATTTTTATGCAAAGTGTCAATTTTTAATTTATATTCGATTCATGTTTTATCATTTAAGAGGAATATTTTTACCAATGAGAAATAGTTGAAATAGATTTCCCAATAAAAGATAGCAAATTTCAAGATTTTTTATCAAGTTAAAGGATTTTCTTTAAATTACTAATTCAAGACAAATTAATTAAATTTCAGTAAATGGATCATAGTTTAATTTTTTATTCGATTTGTAATTTCTACCATTACGATAACGTGTAAGCCACACAGTACCAATTTTGGGCGCTGTGGGGGTGCTAATCCTTCCCCACGCGTAATCGACTCCCGAACCCGTTTTAATTGAATATTTGGTAAACGCAGACCAGCTTTTGTCTTAAAAATGATTTTTCTTAAAATTGTTTTTAAAAGACATTTTTAGGTATTCGACCTACCTAACCCAAAGGTCGATGGCGACTCTTTCTAATTTAATCCAAATTAATTCAAAATCAACCATTTTTCCAGAATTAAAGTCGTAACTATGTTTTCTAAACAATTAA